AACAAGGCTCTAACTTACAACGAGGTTGTAAGTGCTCTCCTGGCGGACGCGGTGGAACAAGAGATGTTGTCATTCTCTCGCCCACTCACTTCAAGTAGTGCACTTTTTGTGATCCGAGGTTAGTCGCATTCATCGGGTCAGGACAATTTGCAGCGTACTGGGCTCAAGCGACAGAGATCCAGATCTCCTGAGCGTGGGAGAGTTAAGTTTCGGGTTCCATCTCCTAACACGAGGAACTTGAAGAACTTGGTGTGTTGGAGATGTGGCAAGAATGGCCACATCAAGAAGGACTGTTGGATGACAATAAGAGATGCGAATCTTTCTCAAGTGGCGAATGTTGCGGAGCATCTTCAATCCGAAGAGGAAGACGTGTTTGCCGACGGTCTATGATGCCAGAGGTATGCCCTAAGTAGTTCACCAACAGTTATTGCTGATGTATGGATTTTGGATAGTGCTTGTTCTTATCACATTTGTTATATTAGAGAGTTTTTTAGTACTTTCTCAGGATCAAACAGATCCGTTCTTATGAAGAATGACCAATCTAGTAAGATTGAGGGTGTGGGATCTGTCAAAATCCGCATGTTTGATGGTGTCAACCGAACACTGACACACGTTAGGTTTATACCTAATGTGAGAAAAAGCTTGATCTCCCATGGAGTGTTAGACTCACACGGCTTGGAGTGGAGCTCTAGACATGGAGTGTTAGATGTCAAATCCAATGATAAGAAGGTTATACTTAGGGGATACAAGCACAATAATCTGTACTTACTAGAGGGCATCACAATTTGTGGAGAAGTCAACTTTACTAGATCTCGCGGAGAGATGTCTCATTTATGGCATTCCAGACTAGGCCATATGAGTGATAGGTAGTTGTCTCTTCTTGATGAGAAAAAAAGTGTTACCGGGTTTGGGTACACTTGATCTTGCATTTTGTGAACACTGCATCGTGGGAAAACAACATAGACGAGCTTTTGGTGTTGGAACTCATAATTTCAAGGAGATACTGGAGTATGTACATAGTGACGTGTGGGGTCCATCTCCTACTGCCTCACTCTAAAGAAAGCTCTACTATGTTTCTTTTATAGATGATTACTCCAGGTTTGTGTGGGAATATTTTCTTACTCACAAGTCTGAGGTCTTTCCCACCTTCAAAACTTGGCGCATACAAGTTGAGTCTCAGACTAGCAAAAGAGTAAAATATTTACGATCAGATAATGGCGGCAAATACACTTCTGAAGAGTTTCAGAGGTATTGTACAGAGGAGGGAATTACTCGTCACTTCATCACAGTTTACACTCCCCAACAAAACGCTGTTTCTGAGAGATTCAATAGAACAGTGTTGGAGAAGTTGCGGAGTATGCTAAGTGAATCTGGTTTACCAAGAGAGTTTTGGGCTGAAGCTGTCAACACCGCAGTTTATTTGGTAAACCTCTCTCCTTCTAATGCACTCCATTTTCCCACACCATTTGAACTCAAGCATAAACGGATGGTGGATTATAGTCGCTTGAAGGTTTTTGTGTACTGCTTATACTCTTACACCAAAGAAGCACAGAACTAAGTTAGATTATACGTCCAAGAAATGTCGTTTTCTTGGATATGCTAGTGGAGTGAAAGGTTATAGACTATGGGATCCACTAGCCCGTAAGGTGATTGTCAGTCAAGATGTTTCTTTCAATGAGCTTGGCTTATTGAAACAGGAGGAGAATTCTAAGACTCCTCGTATTGACAAGGGGAAATTTCCAATCATAGATATCGTTGTGGGGGAGTTTGATCATTATATTAGTAATGATCTGTCACAAGAAGAAGCACCGGAGCATCAAGAACAGGAGGATTATGAGCGAATTATCATTGATGAGCCTATTGCAATAGTTTCAGACAATAGAGATCAACCGGAAACGTCTACTAGGAGATCACATTGTGCTAGTAGGGCTCCTAAAAGGTATGGTGTATGGGCAGATTCATCCATTCTAGAAGATTGTGACTTTGATGTCGAAGATAGGGATGGTATGGCGTTGATTTTGGAAGAAGTTGAGACTTCTTCATACAGGAAAGCTCAAGCTTGAGTCAACAAGCTTGAGTGGAATGCCGCTATGAAGCGGAAGATGGAATCCCTGATTGACGATAAGATTTGGAAGTTGGTTGAGTATCCTACAGATCAAACGCTGATTGACTCCAAGTGGGTGTACAAGCTGAAATACAATCAAGGAGAAGACGAAGCGAGAATCTTCAAAGCTAGGTTGATGGCTAGAGATTTCACCCAAGAGAAGGGCGTGAACTACAACGAAGTTTTCTCACAGGTAGCTAAGTATGCTACAACTCATATGGTATGTGCACTGACTGCAATATTTGATCTTGTTATGATACAAATGAATGTGATTACAACTTTTCTCTATGGATATTTAGAGGAGGAGATGTACATTTGATTTGATGAGTTCATGAAAGCACAAGGATTTTTACGGAGCGTGTATGATCCTTGTGTCTACATGAAGAAGGTAAATGATGAGACGTTCAATCTCATCATTTTCGTACTCTACGCTGACGACATGCTCATACTGGCAAAAAACCAATCCGATGTTGATGAATGCAAGAGTAAGTTGAGGTCTGCATTTAAGATGAAGGATATGGAGGAGTCGAAGAGAATATTAGGCATGGAGATCCATAGGGATCATGAACAGAAGAGACTATGGTTGAGTCAAGGCAAGTATGTCCGTCGTATACTTGACAGATTCAACATGATTGATTCCAAAGGAGTATGGACTTCTTTGGCGGCACTCTGCAGCTCAATGTCCTACGGATGTTGTGGAGAAAGGAAATATGTCATGTGTTCCCTATGAACAAGCTGTATGCAGCCTCATGTATTTGATGGTGTGCACTAGGCCGGACATTGCTTTTGCGATGAGCAAGGTGAGCAAGTATATGTCAAATCTAGGTAAAGTTCACTGGAAAGCAGTGAAATGGATAATGAAATATTTGGAAAGTACTTTGGATTATGGCTTATTGTTTGATGGTTTATTAAACAATGCCAAATCCTTGTTTGGTTACGTTGATGCTAAATTCGGACAAGATCTAGATAAAAATAGATCTACAACTAGGTATGTGTTTCCATTTTGCGGTGGAAGCATTAGTTGGAGGTCAACCTTGCAGAAATGCGTAGCTCGGTCAACGACGGAAGTTGAATATGTGGCAACAGGAGAAGCGGCAAAGGAAGCTATTTGATTAGATAGGGTTATCATGGAAATGGGATTGAAGCAAGGTGTAGTTAAATCTTCATTGTGATAGCCAAAGTGCTTTACATTTGGTTGCGAAGCAGGTCATGGATAGCAGAGTGAAGCACATCGACATCAAGTACCATTTTATCAGACAAGCAGTGTCTGATAAAACGATTGAGCTAGTCAAGATCGACGGTACTCAATCCAGCTGATGCTTTGACCAAAGTTATTCCTTTGGAGAATTTTAAGCGACACTGTTCTATCATGTAGTTTGTGCATGGGGAGCACATGTAGAATTTGCTAACTAGTAACTTCAGTTATCTTTTTAAATATTTACTCTATCTTGTGATGGCTACGGTTTAGCTATAGTTAACTCTTGTGTAAAGAGAGAACTTGTTTTAAGTTTCTTTCTAGAACTTCACGCAGAGTAATTATATAGATTACAAGATCTCTGATATTTTTATGCAAGCAAGTTTACTGTTTACCTCTTTATGTTATAACTCTATCTTGTTATGGTTACGGTCTGGTTCTAGTTAACTCTTGTGTAAAGACTCTTTACACATGAGTTAACTAGAAGGTACATCTTTACTAAAGAGGTACCTTGTGTTAGGTTTCCGTCTAGAACTTTTTGTTGAGTAATAATATAGGCTACAGAGTTTACTGTTTCCTTAACACGAGTTAAGGGGGAGATTGTTGAGGTTAATTTTGATTAAGGAGTAGCCTCAGGCTATAGCTATGAATAGCTAGGTGTGTCGCTGGCTTTGGGTATAAGTATACCTCGAAGGCTTCTACTCGAGTCTTTTTTTTGTGTATTCAATTCTCAGTAAACCTGCTCAATGTTCCAGCCGTGGACATAGCCCTTAAGTATGAACCACGTTATATGAGTGTCTTGTGTCTTCGTACTTGGCTTGAATGATTCTTGGTTTTATGTCAACATCAATAATATTTTCATCATTTGATTCATCAAATTATCATCAAAAGAATATGAAAAAATGAATGATAATCTTGATTTTTTTTAATAAGTTAGTAAATTTTGAGTACATATTCTTAGGCAAATTGATTTTTAAAGTCTCACATCAATTTTAAACATAATTTTGTCATTTTTAGTGCAATGTAATGATACTAAAGATCTTAAAAACCCTTCAATTGTCATACAATCCAATCTTTTAAATCAATACTATAAATACGTATTTTTCAAAGACTAGTTTATTGAACTGAATTCTGAAAAAAAATGTTGAAAGTTGTGAGATAAATATTTATATATCCCAAGTTTTTTTCCGAATTTTAATCTTGTGTTTGATGTAAAATTATAGAAAGTCAATAATTTTGTGAAAATTTATGTTTAATTAAAAATGATTAAATCATTAATATTGAGAATAAATTCAGTTGTATATCTTCAATATTAATCATGTATCTTTATTTAATTTTGATAGTTAACAATTTTTTTGAAAAAGTTCCTTTCATATTGCATATTTTGCACATAGATGGAAAAAGAATGCACAATAATTTATTATATATATAAATTTTCATTTGTGAATTACAGTTTAAAACTTAATTTTAGAATTGTTAGATTTGATTTCAAAATTTTCACATAGTAATCATATTAATTTTTGTTATCAAAGACCTCAAAATATGAATGAAAAGTGAAATTTTTATGTGTAAATTTAATAATTGATAAACTTTAATAAATTAGTCTATAGTTAATGACGCTAATGAACTAATGTTATATCTAAAATCTGTCATAAGAATATATCATTCATTTAAGCTCTATGTAAAATGTTATTTTATTGAGAAGCTATTAAGAAATACAAGTATAACAATTTTCTATGACAACTGACTTAATAACTGACGTCGTGGATACAAAAAGATTTTGTATCCACAAAGTCAACAGGTTAATATCCGTGGTTGTTATAGGAAAAATTAGATTCAACTTTAATCTCTTTACATGAAGAAGCAAAGTTTGTTCTTCGTGCTTTTCTTCCTAATCTTCCCGTTTCTGCAGGGATGGCCTCCTTACCTCATTTCGTGAAAGGATACCCATTTTTCTGTTCTATCTATTGTAACAGTTTTCTGCTTTGGCTGCATCACCTTATGAATGCACACAATCTCTCCTGGTGAAATCTGTTGAAGCATTCCGTTTATTCTGTTTGAAATGTCAATTAAGGATTATGGTAAGTCTCACGGTAAGAGATCAACTGTAATTTTATGGAAAATATTGACAAGGATATTCTAAGTAAAAATTCTCTTAACCCTTCGCTGCGACGGTTCTCGAGCTTAATCGAAGATAAATCGGTCAATCGGTTCTTCAAAGTATGACAACGATCAGATAACTAGAGTGATTTGAGGTTGTATAAATCGCCATCATGGAGCAACTCAACAGTAAAGAAATGAAATAAAACCTCATCTATTCAGTCAATATCATACTTACAGTTTACGAGCTCTGAATCATGTGGATTTGGGACAGTCGAAAGGCATAAGTCGAAACACTAGTCATAGCATAAGCCGAAGCATAGGTCGAACATAAGCCGAAACTTCTAAATAAAAACCAAGGAGTCTGCAGACAGCACACCTATTTTGCTTGCACAAGAGCATAATTTTACAAAATCAGCTTGAAGTTAAGAAACATAAAACTGAACCTTCTTCAGGTTTGATGCGGTTAGAAAATTTGGTTCAATTTGATCAACTGATCGAAATAGGGCGTATGCAAACAGCATCTCAGCCCATGCTCAGAGAATGGCATTCGCCACTGCCCTTTGCTGCTAACACGCTGCTGACAAACTCGACATAAGAGTTGCAACTAATTTACAGTTGAAATGTTAAGGTCGACAAAAGCAGCTCACAAAATCGTTCACATATATTTCTGATCAACTTTCTTGGTAGAAATGAATCTACAATTTAAACGCACATTCGTTATTACCCCATAATTATCATGGTTTGCCGATGCAAAAAGGCGAGTTTTATATCAATGATGAGGCGTTTGAAACACGAAACTATAATATTCAGTCGGAGATAATGATATTGAGGAAAGAGGGTACACGATTAAGTTTGGGGGATGGGAAGCTTAATATGACGTTTGATAAAGCAAAATGGATATTCTGAGCTAAGACCGGTAGAGCCTGTAGATGTGCAAAGGGTGAGGGACAGGGCATCCACCGGTGGTGCTGACTGCAGCTGCTGCTGCTTCGGTGGTAATATCAAGGGCCCGCGGTACTGCTGTTTGTTCTGACCATGGAAATCCGTACCTGGAGAAAATTCATACAAAGCAGTCTTATCAAAGGGCTTGGAAGCAGCTGTTGTGATCGATACTGACTGATGGTGGCCTATGTTGGTGGCTGCTGCCGTTTGACCACCTCGGCCAGAAGCGCGGTGGGTGAGGTCGTTCCAATTGCTATATTCACGGGTGGACTGCATAGATCGCTGATTGCTGAGTGCTGAACTACTTCCATTCTTCCGATCGAGGAGATACCCTTGATCTGGACCTGCAGAAGAAACACCAGTTGTGGCAAAGTTATCATATTTAGCCCTTGAGCTTCCCCTGCAAACTGATGGAAAATGAATACTGCAGCTGTGTTTTGACATACCCAAATGCTGGAGCGTCAGATGTCTGTGGATACCTGCGTATGAGACTGGTGGAACTCGATAGTTTCTCGCTATAAGTAAGCCATTGGAAACTGAGCTTTGCAATGGGGTCTCATCTGCACATAGAGAGCTGGAGTGAGACAACTTATGGACGTCTCAAAAGATTAAATCACGAAAAAAATCAAATGAAGTTTCAAAGTTTGTGAATTTACGTTTATCAGCCTTCCACCTCCTGCCCTTAACAATATGAAGAATTTTCATTTGACCATTTATGTAGCACATTGTTGGACCAGCTCATCCAACGGTTATACATTACTCCTGATTTAGACTGCTCACTGCCTGTAGAGTTTCTTCCAATCTTTGTCTTAGATGAAAGAAAGAACAAAGTAGTGTTATGAACTAAATGTGAATAGGAAGCATTTTTGGATCAGTCATAAAATCTGTAATTTATAGGTACTGAAAGGTAGCAGTATTTCCGCTAAATAGCATATCTTGCTTCTAATCTTGATTACAAGTTTCATACGCTCTTATAATTTCATAGCCATCTTTTGCATCATGAAACATATATACACTACGCTCGGACAAGGTATTGTGATCGGCTAGTGTTTTGGAAAATATAAGGTGATAGCCTTACGAAGCAAATCCGGCGTTAAGGTACTTTAAAATGCAAGCTATAGCTTGAATTCAAATGAAGATATACATGACTTAACTGTTATGTACTTTAGATATGACAAGAAGCAGAACTTTGCACATGTACAACCTGAAGAGAACCACACCGTGGATGGAGAAATTTAACAGCAAAAGCAGAATACAAGATACGGCTGCAATAATACCAGAAAATGAATTAAAAACCCTACCACAAAGTGTTCATCAATCCACAATGCACACTAACAATAATATTGATAATAGGCGAGGACCGGAAACTAGGACGGGCTCACAGGGTTAAAAAAATAATAAAAATAGCAGCACACCCTGACAAGAACAATGGGAAACCGAAGATAAGCAAAGAAGTTTCGTTGCATGTCATTTTTGGGACAACGGAAATAAGTTTCTCCTCCCCATACGATACATATTACAAGAGTCCCTTGCATACAACCCCACATTGCATTCAGACTTCATCTCATGAATAATACTAAGAACATGCTGCACTCAAGAATAATTTTCTACAAGTATGAATAAATGAATACATAAATAAACTTATATTTTCACACCTCTGGATATATAATATTCTTATCTAAATACTTCGAATGCAGTCTAGGCCTAGATATTCTTCGTTTTTGGTATTTATAAGAGATATGCTTGAATGAAATACCGATGAGACAGTTGTGACCCCTACAGAAATTCGTAGTATTGTTGTGCATCTTAGATCAGAAGATCACATCTACCAAAGCAGCGTTGACTACACAGCTACAAGGCTTACAGAAATTCAACGCAAAACTAATTGAAAAGGAATATTCCAGAAGCTTGTGGTTCATGTAGACAGAAACAAGTGACAAAAGAAATACAAAGAAGAAGCTGGCTGAGCAGCAACTAATAAAATATATTAGCACTACGAAATTTTGCAGCCCGTATATCAAATGTTTGCTTGTATCAACCCAAAATGGTTTATGTTACTTCCTACTTGGAAGAGCCCACTGAAAAGAAGGAATAACAGGTCTAGGAATATCATGGTGGATTTTGACATACCAGTAGCGACAGTGATGGTATATTACCTCTGTTGGTACTAAATCATTGAGACTGTTTCTTAATTCAGTCTCAATCATCTTGTTGGAAGAATTGTCAAAGCGTAGAGGATGAGCTTTCGAACAATGGTTCGGACTGGAGACTCAAGGTTCGAAACCTTCTGAATTTAAATCGGGCAAGTTAAATCCACCATCGGACTGCGAAGATCCGCCTTGGGATGCTAGATAGAAGAGACCGAGTAACTGGATCGTTAAGTACAAAGCATCAAACACCTAATTACTTGTGAGAACCGATCTTGTTTTCTTATGTACATTAAACTAGTTATACTATAAAAACTATATTATACATCCCGAAAAAGGGAAATCAAAGGAGTCTGCTGCATTTTCGACACGAATATATTTTATGTCAATCAGTTGCAACTACATAATTAACACAATGCAATTAAATATATCATTTCCAAAATAAAATTTTGGAGTTGAGAGGGCAATTTTTCTCTAAAATTTTTATATAAATTTCCTCATACGAAAATATAATTAAAAATTCCAGTTATAATAACCAGTCCTGCAAATAGCATTGGAGCTGTCAACTATCTGATCTGCATCCATGTTAAGTCGAGCTATGAACTGACGAAAATAAAAAGCTTTGAACTGCAACTCAGAGGCGTCAAATCCATCTTTCAGGATTATATGATATCGGTCATTTACTATTTATATCGTCAGTGTGATCCGCTCTAGACCCTACTGAATGGAAAAGACCTAAGCTGTCCTCGACAGCTTCCCTACCTGCCCCGCACGGAACTTCCGAACGTTTATATGTGGAGATGTGATGGGCTTTGAGACAATTGGATGCGCGAACGTGGACTAGAAAAGATAATTCGAGCAGACATGGAGGTGCACTAATAATCAATTGGAAGTTCTTTGAAGAAATGGCAAATAAATGCGAGTCCTCCGAGTAGTGGGAGAAAAGTTGATAAATATATACATACCAGAAATAGCACAAGGGCAGTCGCTAGCATCAGAACAGCTTACGCGGCCCGCGTCCATCCTGCATGGGCTCGTCGAATCAATCATCACATCTGCAAGACTCACAAAACGTACAGAAATCGATGAACAAACAAAAATCGCAGGCTCTCTTAAGAAATAGTTAAGCTACGTTGTGTAATGTACGTATGTAACTGCTCTGTACATCGAAGTTGAGACCTACCACCGCTGGATAAGAGCTCGAGCTCAGGCGTATCTGATGATGAAGGGGATGAATCGGCATCTCCACTCCGACCATTGTGGTCGTTACATGCAGGAATCCACGTCGAGTCCTGTCTGCCCATATTCTTCAGATAGATCTGATCATTATAGCTCTCCTTTTTAATAAAGGTATTATCCATCGACGGCGCGGGAGGCAGACTGCAATTAACGGCATTCGGAAACTCAGTTGACGTGCTTCCCTCAAATATAGGCGGTGAATTCAGATCTCTCGTTGGACGAACACAGCAGCTCGGTGTGTCATCAGCAACGGCGAGAGCTGCAGTGAGTAGGTCACTAGGTCCAGGGAAAAGACCAGCGAAAAACTGAAATTCTTGATGATATGAAGCGTTGCATTCTCCAGTGGACCTTTCTGATTTAGGAAGGTTCATTGGTCGCGATTCTGGATTTATGAAGAACTCGATATTCGTGTCGCAATCTTCCGCACTTGTCTCTAAATTCTTTGGCTCTGGAAGACCCGACATCATGACTGTACTCTCTTCGTTCTCCACAGCAACTTGGTCAAGCTCTTCATAATCGCCTTCTGTCCCACTAAGATTCAAGTCGTAATCACAGATTCCTGCAACAGTCGGTTGATCACAGTTGTTTCTACCACTATTTCTGGATCTTATAGAGCATGTTGTCTCATCGCTCTGACCGCATGACGAAGAAGGAGTGCTCGTCTCATATTTGAAGCGATCTAGCGCCGACTCGGGTCCGTCGGAATCAAGAGCCGCCTCTTGTATTTCACATGTGCAGTTTACGTTGATGACCTCGCTCTCCTGGAGATCAGCTTTAAGTTCAGGGGTTTTGTGTCCCTGCAAAGTGCGTGCAACAGTTGTCACTGATATTAGTCCACTGCCAAAATACAACGATTAGTGCTATAATCCTGTCATTGTGAAAGGCCACCTCGACTGCCAAATGTGGGAAATATAGTACTGGAATATGGAAGGAATTACAATTTTCCAGATCAAAATCCTTGACCTGCACATAATTGGCTTGATTTCAACTACTCCGATAACACACCATCACCAAAGATATCAGAGACTGCTCTGAATGTTTACTGGCTGGTTTAGGTGACTAGACGTCTTGATATAACTTAAAGAAAAATGAAGTTTAGAGACCTCATCGACTTTCGTCTTGAATCTTGTAAATCGGAGTGCTTAGCTCCGGTTCACATATTCAGCAGTTTGAAACTAGTTACTCAATATTCCACGCTAGGGTCCGGGTAGCAAAGAGAGTACTCGAAAAGTTTTCGATGTGAAACCAAAATAAAAACCATCACCATTTCCACCTTTTGTCTATGAAGATACTATAACGTCTCCAAAATTCATGATCTTCATCGCACCTCTTAAGAATATACTACAACGAACTTCATCTAGGTTTCAAAATCTCGTGTGTCCCTTGAATGTGAATCATAGCATTTGAACGACTGTCCACAAACCTGGCGGTATATTGTGCCGTCTTCCTCCACGATCCATCCAGCCTCTGCACACAAAGCCTTCAAAACCTCATTGTGGTCTGCGTGTTTCGGTAGCCTGTAGTTACCATACTGCCTCAGGCCAGCGAAAATGCGAGCTGCGACTGCTCTCCTTCTCCTCTCTCTCTTTTTGTTGTTCTCCCGTTCCCTAGGAGAAGGCATTCTAAGTACAGAAGTCGCGCCTCGGCCGGAATTCTTGGTGGGAGGTCTCCTTACTATCCACGGACCAGAGGTGGACTTTATGCATCCACGAACCTTGAAGTTGTATGAGCTGCTAGCTTCGGCAGCACGATTCGCCATTTTGCAGCGACTTCAGAAGACTCTGGAGAAGGCTTTGAATTATGGGACCTTAACACGATAGACAGACCATACCACTTTCAGAAGGCCTGTATAAACATGACACGGACCCCGAAGAGGAGAAGAAGTAAGAGGCTTTTACTTCTTTCACACAAGGAACAATCCAAGGTTGGGTCTATGTGGTCTAGACTTGTCACGAGCGTGTACGATCTGTCTGTGAAGCATGCGCAGAGATCAGACATGCAAGAAAAGAATGACCTGATCACCCACTAATTGTCCCAGGGTGCAGTCGAGTTGGTTCAAAGCCGTGAAGTGGACAGAACACAAATAATGGTCATCAAGAGAAATTGAATTTCTAGCCTTTGAGAATAGTAGGGACTCTACATGAAAGGAGCTCAGAGCTCACCTTCAGTGCTCAGGCAAAACACAAGCAAAAAAGGTATCAGACTCCACTATGGGAACTTAAAAAGTTCTTGTAACCTCTCCCGAGTGCTATTCCAACAGAAGTTCTATATGTCTATCAAAAAGACCCTTTTGAACCAGACCTGAGATGATGATCACGCAGCCCATTGAAAGTTTACCTTCTGTCGTCCTGACTCCCGAATCACTTTGTGTTCGGGATTTTCATAGGTTTTATCACCAGGTCTTGGAGCTGTTTCAACCGGCACGACTTTGACGCGCGCTGCCACAGTGCGGAGATTTTGAGCTCTTTGAAATGATAGCAGAAGGAGAGAAGTTGAATAAGCGGTAATCGATATGTTCTAAAATCCTTCTCAGCTCAACTTTGGTTCCAAAGGTGGTTGTGGTCAGATTCCTCTCGGTTAGAAAACGCACTCACAGTGCATCGACCCTTCGATATAAGCGTTATTATCGAGAAAAGACTTGCTCGTGACGAGAAGTTCACATCCCAAGTTTGTGCATCCTTTCACCCAATGAACATGGGTGGAGCATATATCTCGACAGAATCCCTGCACTGGACTCGTACGCTTTAAATCTGGAGAAGGCTGCAGCTGCCTTTAGCCATCAAAAAACTTATATCCAAACTTCTGGACCAGTCACTGTCTGATCAGAAGCAGCCTTAGGTAAGAAAGCTCAGCTCTAAACGTCAACCATCACGCCCTTCTCACCACCCACACTTCACACCGAAAGTCGTATAACCGCGTTCTTCAGTCCCCAGCACAATAACGATGTCATCTACTAGGCAAAGCTCCCCGATACACTTCATGTCACACTCCGATCACTCCATCATAGCTGTGCGTACCAAACCAAGCAGACCTTTCGCTGAAGCAATGAGTCTGATTTCGACAGTCCTGGAGTATAGCAAATGTCCGCCTGTCGAAACTGCTTTACCTATTGAATGGAACACCCTATGACAGCAGAAGACAACATCGTTCCAACACCGTCGCCCATCTCCAGCACCTACATTAAAGCCCGAGTCGCTCAGAGTGGAACTTAATGAACTTTCGGATGGCCTCGGGACCACATGTACATGGATTACGGTGTCTTGCGGTTCCTTCTCCTTCCTGTGTCCCGACAAGGAACATCGTTTCACATGGAAGAAGTAAAAAACTCCTTCTAAAGCCACCCTGACCTCCAAGCGCTTCGCCCACACTAATCGTCGTCTCCCTCTCTTCCAAACTCCCCATCTTCCTCTCCTGTCAAAAATAATCTGGACGATATCCGAAGACTCGGACGATACCGACGAAGACCACTCGCTGCAGTCTCATTGGACACACCCATCCCTACCCCCAGCATGGCTCAGTCCGAGGTTATCCAATCCCAAGATTGCTGGACTGCAGAGCTCGGTAAAATTCGTGAATATCTCTTCGGTCACATGTATGACCCTGTATTTGGTCTAACGGTCCCAATAATTCTCTTATTGCCGAGCGAATTCGCATTACAGCCGACAGGTACTGGGTTAACGAATTTTCTCAACAGGTTGTCATGCCATTGAAGTTGTGTCGTACAAGTCATTTGGCTCCGGAATCTGGAATCTGGATCTTACTCTACTCGAAGAAAATCGTAAATATATCCGTCTCATCCCTGTTAGCTGGAATCCTTCCGATCCTTCTAGAATGAGCCCTGTAAGCTGTAAGCTATAAGCTATGAACTCGTTAACCTCAAAATTCTGCCGACAGGTAATTTAATGCAAAGAGCTTCCTTCCTTCCTGTCTTTAGACCAGTCCGAGTCCGTTGCGCATTAAAACGTCTCCATCCCATATCATGCCCAGCAGCGAATTTGAGTACAGTACATTCGGCCAGACTTGTCCGAAGGTGATTCGACCGTCGTTTGTATGTGGGGCTTTCGGGCCTGAGCCTCTACATTTGGCATCCTTTAGATCCGAAGGTTGGATGGAGCTGCCTCTTCCTGTCTGTCTGTCTGTCCACTGCTACCTCAAATTTTACTAAGAGGGCAACCCGCTAGAATTTATAAGCGATATTTTTTAAGCTTGGGCGAATGAGAAGTGGCGATCTGGTACTGCTGTCCTTCCATCTTCAGAACTTGCCGGCTAAAACCTTCGACAGTTGTAAGGACATCTCAGAGAATTTGGCCCCAGAGAAGGTAGTCAGTCTACAAGTAGAGTATCCTTACTGTAATTCTAGAATGCGACAATTCGTACAGTTCGACTACAGGCGAGCGAACTTTCGATTTGATGATAGTACTTAATTCCAAGTTTGCCTAGTCCTCCGATCGCAATTATCGTGTTGCAAACATGGGGCCGTGCGAAATCTCTGAACAGGCCCCATGCCTTTCTGCATCACCACATAGAAGAGTGCCGCTGGTGGACATCACCCAGTGGCCCGTCATTAACCTCCAGTCTCCGGTGGAGAATTAATTTGATGACCCCACAGATTGCGAGCAATTGAGGCAACGGATTTAATGGGTAGTGGTGAACATACATACGTCAATCTGGCCTTGATTCTGAAAGCTTACTGGACCCGTTTCTTTTGTTTGGCTGTCTGGAAACGGAAAACGTCATGGCATTCGCGGCAAAGAAACAATATTTCAAATCATTCCAGCAGCCACATCAATAACTTATTAAGTATTTATCGACCTACAAGTGGTATTTCTCCTTTCTACCTCTCAGAATTTTCTAAATCTGATTGCATAGGCTTCATGACATGTATCAGCAGCCCCTTTTCTGCATGATACAACCTCCAGCATGCTAGGCAATGTCAACTGATCCTGCTCGCGTTGTCTAATTCTCGAAGTATGTTTCAGTAATGAGCATATCTGATTATAAATATAAAGTTAGCATAAAGTTAGCATTTCTGTGTAAATTCCTATAATTATTGTTACTTTAGTAAATGTTTGCTTGAAGTATACCCAGAGCTCAAGAAGTGTTCAAATTTAATGGAAACTTGTCACAGTAGATTAAAAGTGATACAACTGATATGCATTTCCCGTTGCATTTATCCATGCATTTTCAAAAACAGATTATTTTCTGCTGACACTACAATTACATACTATTTTTGAACTATGTAGAGAAAATATATGTAATTATTTACTCAAAGTATGAAATCATAATGAATATTTTAAAAAAATTCCAAGATAAAAATCAGCACCAACACATAGATTTGAATCTTTTTTTTTTCATTGAACTCTAAAATTCGAGGATGCGTTGTAGGCCAAATTTTCTGCTTTCTTGGTAAAGTTTTAACGATATCCTCGTAAATGAAACAAAGTTTGAGCAGGAATTATCTTCAATAAAGATTCTTAACTCAAATCATCTCAATTTTTTCTTCATGGAATAAGTGCGTCATAAAAAAACTATTAATAATACGAATTTAATCAAGGATATATATCTAGTACATTTTTAGTAATCATAAACCTACACAGATACAGAATTAGTAGGACTAGCTTAGAAAAGAATAATACATTTCCTACATGTTGTAATTTCAAACCCAGAATTTTTTCTACTTATATGCAAACCTACAAACCTTTTTTACAAACCTAGATTCCCTGGGGAGCCTATTGAAGGCATATCATGAAGCAAATGGCGAGTAAACGGGTAAAACGTAGGGGAGTGGATTCTTTAAAAAATGGGGAAAAAGTGTCATATCAAAGAAAATATTTACTATGAGTTAAGAATGAATGGAAAACTCGGAGGTTAGAAATAAATTCATATACTCATATACAGTCAATTTATTACATTCTATTCGTATTCTCTGATATAAACCTGTATCCTTCAAATTTTAACCGTAAATTCAAGATAATTAAATTCTAATAATTTGATTATCTTGAACAATTTTGAAATTTTTTTTATTATATTCAGTTGAAAAATTAATAAATCATATGTAAATATAATTTAGTTGAAATGATACTGGTTCAAAAAATAATAGAACTAGATTTTGAATTTATTGTTATTATTTTCAAAAATTTCAAAAATTTTTAAAGTCTATGTTAAAAAAATAAAAAAAAATTATCTTTAATATTTAATTCATGCACACTTATAAGAATTTTGAATGACTGTTATAGATGATAAATATCATTTAATCATAAAATAAATTTTGAGCTTTAAAATAGCTCTTGTTATTCAAAAAAATAATATCTTGACCTTTCTTTCCTATGAGTTTTGAAAATTTTCATTAGAATAATCTTAAGTAAGAATCAAATATAAAATTGAAATTTTTTAAGGAAGAATCAAATATATAGTGTAATATTTAATACTCAGGAGAACTATGTTGAAAATGTACACTTCTGCATTTGTTGAGTACATAATTGCAGAAGATATGTTTTATTTGAAAATGGAAGAAGATTCTTCAATTATTTTGCAATCCTAAACCAAGACCATAAAAGGAAATTTATGAGTTCAAGCACCCTGGAAATGGACTAAGGGTACAGATGTAGGTTGGAATTTCTACCATCTCGCATTATGTTCTCAATATCGAGAAATTTGTTTTGAATGTCGGTAGCTGGATGTAATTCTGGAACCCTGTTGCAACATACGGTACTCCCACAGTTGGTGGGAATGAGGTGTGACACCGGATGAAGCAAAATACAGTAATCGCTCTAATTGTTTTAATTTGGACGTTTTGCCTGTAAGCAACCCTATCTATAAATGACCACTATCCAGCAATTCCATGAAAGATGTGAACATGCGTATATTTGGGATCTTCAAAGCAGCTCAATAATAACATCTACGGGCTTTCAGAGCCTACGCTTAGCCACAACTTGGGCTCTCAAATTCCTTCGATATTAAAGATTAATGGATGCTTATATCAAAGTTGTCCTTCGATCCAACTGCAACTTGATAAATGTAATAAAGAAATGACTCTTGAAACTTGTCCGTCAAAAGTCATTTCATATACATTATATGGATCAAGATCTAAAAATCGGTATCTTAGTAGTTGATTTCCGCTATGGTATGCGTATTGACTCCATATACTTTGATAAGCAAATATCTATTTGTAAATAGTCCACTGAAATTTCAAGTTTTGGGAAATAAACGAAATGAATGGTCTCCAAATACTTTGATAAGTAAATTTCTATATGGAAATAGTACACAGAAAATTCAATTTTTTGGTAAATGATCGAAATGAGTGGTAAAATTCAAGAGTGATATAACATAAATCGTTCTGATGGAAGAATTTGGGAAAATTGAGCTGCACATGCTTCGACTGAGATAATAGGAATGTGGCGCAAAGTACAAGTCTCACACGCTGTAGAAAAAACTCTTGCATCTGCCCATGAGTCTTCAACGGGCCAGACTGTGGATGAGAGCGATATGACGATAATTGGATGGAGCGATGTACAATAAAGAGGGCCGGGTTAAGGTCTAAAGGCTGGATCTTGTAGTCCAAGGCTGGAAATTGTAACGGCCGCTGGTGCGTTGGCGCGCGTGACAAGCCCGCGACGCCCGCCGACACAATGCGTCGCGACACTCTCCCTTTCTGGCTTTTCAGCGAGCATCGAGTGAACTAACGTTAGCTAGGGAGCAGAAACACGGAGAAGGTCGCCCTATATTTTCCGGGCAAGTTCAGGTGCAGATTTTATGATTGTTGCACAAGTACATTCCACATTCTTGAGCATGTACTTCTCCCTCTCATGATAAACTCCTGAGCTGTTATTCAACACGTGCGAAGATAGTGGTCACTAGATTTACGCATCGTCGTTCAAAAGAGATTTTTCTTTGTTCCTTAACCACGGCTACGAGCCTGAGCCCCTGCAATCACGCAATGGTTTTGAAACATCATTGATTCAAGCGGAATTATAGTGCCCTTGCGTCTCATAATGTAGGAACTCACACCTGTACGTCTACCCTTACCTGTACACTGCCGCTCAGTAAGTCCTCACTTTCGTTCTGCACGTGCGGCACTCACATACGCTTCAGCCTTCCATTCTACAATTCTTCTGCATCCCTAGCGTGGCCCCGAAACAAATCCCCGAAAGAAATACGAGTGAGAAGAAGAAGCGAACATGCTTTCTCGTAGAAAATAAGTTGATACATTTATTCGAGAAAGCATTCCAGTCTTCTGTCCTCGAGAAGTCTTGAATAAAAAACCCGAAGTTCGTCCTGCCTAATTCCATCTCAGTGCTTTTCTCTCTCACCCGAGATGTAGAACGCAATGTTTGTATATCGACGAAGTGTTGAGTCTAATACTCGAGATTCTTTTCTAAATTCGTTTTTAGCATGAACATGGCACTTCAAGCATGAACTCCTATGGCTCTAGGGAAAATGGGCCAATCTTTCACTAACGTTCTGGAGTGAGTCCTGATTCCATCAGATTTTACCAGCTGGATGAGAGTCGGTTATTCTCGACCTCACGACAGGACAAGTATCGGGACCAAATGGTTCACCATTCTACTCGGCTTGTTCAGATATTAAGTTTGTATTAGAAACTGTTGTATACAGTACATCAGATAATACAAGTCTTAAACTCCTGTTCTCTTGAAGTATACGGGTGATAGTAGTAGGGCAATTGAAAGAAATGAGGTCAAATAGCGATCTCTGTCCGGAAAATCTTTCTCATTCTTTTCTCGCATAAACACTCAAACTTGGCTCTTGTCTTATATCGCACAAAACTAGCTGATTCAAACGAGGGATTAAGAGTAATAGACCAAGCTTTTTTGAATCAGGATTTGAAGTTGTATTGTTTTGAAGAACACTTGAACATTTCTTACGAGATGATACCCTCAACAAAACTGAAAAAATTCTTCTTTGTTCACTGTTTATTCGATTGTAATTAAATATTTTAATGTAATATCATAAATGAAATATATTTTATTTCAAACGATTTGCACATAATGTCAAGCCATAAGCTATGCATAAAAATCTTGAAATCAATAGACTGAAATATAATCATCGATACTTTACGAATACACCCTAACCTTGATAATATCACACCCTCCGTTTCACCAAAAAGTGTGATATAAACAACGTGTGACATTTTTGATAATGTCACATTTTGTGCATAATGTGATATTATCAAAAAAATAGGTAAAAACTCAAAATAAAATTACAATATGAAGAAGAAAATAACAAATGAAAATATTCAAACAACCATATATAGTGAGTGCGCAAGACTGTTATTCGGATTGTCTACATATCTAATCAGACCAAGAAATCGACATGCAAATCCTACGTATTTCTTGTCAGCCCTTGCTTGTTTATTTTTATGCACTATTGTCGTTGAAGCAGTTTAATGGTCGAATCTATCTAAGGCAACAAGCCTTCGAGGATTACAAAAAATTGTTATTGTGACAAACGTCTCAAGAATGTCAACTCTGGCCAGCGAGAATTGACAACCCGAAGCTTACAAGCAAAAAAGGAAGAAAGTCCATTAGGCGGGCTGAACATTTAAATCTTCCAAACCTGAGCCATCACAAGATACTGTTATGACTTCTGATCTCTCATGGCGTCCTAGCTTTGGCAGCTCAGTTGTCCCCGATTGAAACTTGCTGCTCCCGAGTAAGCCATATTACTATGGCGCCTTTGCAAGTTGAGACTCTTCTGAGAACCAATAATCTTCCTCTCAGCTCGAACCCTCCGTCCACACTAGCCGATCGCAAAATCATCTTCCTTGCAGCTCGAACCCCTCGTCCACGTACAAGCAAGTAGCATTTCATTTACTGTATCACAAGGGAGGTGCCTTTGCAAGTTGAGACTTTTCTGAGAACCAATAATCTTCCTCTCAGCTCGAACCCTCCGTCCACACTAGCCGATCGCAAAATCATCTTCCTTGCAGCTCGAACCCCTCATCCACGTACAAGCAAGTAGCATTTCATTTACTGTATCACAAGGGAGGTTCATGATACTACATGTCCAACTGTCACATATAATCCATTCATATTTGATATTATCACACTTACACTAGAAATTTTGCAAAAAAAGAGTGACATTATCAAGGGTGATAGTGATATTAAAGAGTGAGTTTTACACTAGGGAAATTGGTTTTGAACTTGTATGTGACAATCTCAAGGTGTTCCATTAACAAGTGTGACATTATCAAGGTTATGGTGTAATGTATTTTCTATTATCTTCAATAAGTTTTGTTTGATTCATGTTGTTTTTGTGCTAATGCAAATCAAGATCTATGCTTATGATCATCCTCACTCTAAAAAAACTCATATCATGTTTACCTCCAATTATGCGTTTGAAACATATTATAAATATATATTGCATAAGTTATCAAGAAAAATGTCTTTTTTTGAAACTCATCATAAGTTTTAAAATTTATGATATATATATATATATATATATAATGAACTTAAAAATTCTCATCAATGATTAATTTTGATGAAATTTAGAATATCAACAAAAAATAAATTTTGAAACTGAGATATTGTGTTTTTTATATGTATATTCAAAGATTAAAGTTTGATAATTTCAATCATGTTTAAATTATAAAAAATGTTTTTATTTGTCAAAACAAACAAAAATAACTTTAAAAATAATGATTTTCATAAAAAATGTATTTTCATATTTCATATCAAAACAATATTTGACTACATATTAATATATGATTAATTTTATAATTAAAATGAATTTATTTTTCAAAATTAGCTTTAATTTTGAATTTAAGTTTGTTATACAAAAAAAATAATTTCATAATATGAAAAAAACTGAATTTATATATTAAAATATAAAAATTTACTTATATAATAACATATTTTATCAATGTGAAAATCATTATATATTCAAATTTTTATGAGAGTTGATATTAAGTGTGTAAATCATGGAAGACTATGAGAATTAACAACATTTTAATTGATCCGTTATAACTACCAAAAATTAATCTGAGCTTAAATTGAAAAAATGGTGACTTGAAGATTTTGATTATGTACAAAAAGATTCAACATTTTAGACAATGAGATATAGAACATTTTAGCATCATGTGAAGAAATTGTTTTGCAAATTGTGGCTACTTTACTGGTATACAATAGATTAGACCAGGATAGATGCTTAATACATCTTTGTATATCAATTTAAGCATTAAATAACATACAAAATGATATCATCATGAAAATTTAAAGTTATGAAAACAAGAAAATATGAAATTGACATAAAATTATATGCAAATTTTTTTGTCATTTGTTATGAAATTCAAGGAAAATTTTTAAATGATGTGAGAATACATATATAAAAATTCGCTAACAGTCATTACTAATACAGTTTGCAAAGTTTAAAATTTGCATTACATCAACTAAATTAGCAATACCGTGAATTTAATCTTGAATTTTGAAAAAATAATTTGAATTTAAAATTACCATTAAAGAACTTTATATTTTGTTGCTAGTTATAAATTTTATAAAATATAATAATTCATACATGTCATCTTAAAAAACTCTATCGTCAATTTCAACTATTTCTAATAAGTTTTAAAAAAATGAAACAAATCTCTTAATTGGTTGAAATTTCATGTTCAAGATTAATCTATCAAAACCCAAACTGCCATTTATATGCCGATATTATGTTTTATGTAAAATCCTAATTTGAAGACGTATCAAAATCAGCTAATAACAACATTTGTTAAAGATTGTTTTGTTCCAAAGTTAAATTTTATTATTTTAATCATTATGGTTGGTTGTTAAAATGCAACGACTACAGCAAACCACGACCAGCTGACATGAACACCAAAAATCTGAAATTTTTTAATTTTTTTTTATTATCCTATGTTTGTAACACTCACTAATATCAATTGTTGCTAACATTCATGAGTAATCCTTCTTGGTTATATTTATTGAAAGTCTCAAAATACCTGTTGTTGTCCAAAAGAATCAGCATAAGTAAAACATTAACATTACAATCAGGATAAAAATTAGCATGAACATAAGTGTTCACCTGAAATACAAGCATCACTTAGAGTATTTCTTTAAAACTTTACTTTTTTCAAATAAGAGTTTGCAATATCACAGAATGTCAGCCTTAGTTTAACCGATCAAAATGAAAACGACTGGAACTATTTTGAATTAGTTTGTAACGTTTTATTTTTTTTATAATATTTATTACTAATTCCTGTCAATGAGTAAAAGAATATAGAGTAATAACCAAAACATTATAGATCTCAGGAAGCCAAACAAACGTGGCTAGGTGTGACATCAATAACTAGGTGTAAGTTATGAAAAATTATGATATATATGATCAAATTGTATGAACAACTATTGTTTGACAAATATCATGAATATTCGATTTCACAATAAGTCACATGATTTTTACATTGTGCAGAGCACTAGCTGGTAGTTTGTGTAGAGCAATGAAGAAAAATTGCCAAAACTCGCTACACAATAAGCTAGTTGAAGTAATACAACTTAATACCTAGTATGATAATCTCTCGAGCATTCTTCACCATCATGTAATTTTCTGCGTTCATCAACAATATATCAAATAGTATCAAGCTCATTTTGCATAAGCATAGCAGATCTTTAACAAATATTGGAGATAACCATGTATCCTTACCCAAACTACCCCACTTCCTACATCTGTTGATGAGAGTTACATATTTCCCTTTGATGCGACAGTTATGCAACTTGGAGGCAAAGTTATTAGATCTCATCTAGACATGAATGTAATTATTCTCCTCTCACAAGATACTATGTAATAACAATATTATCTATACGATTTTCAGATAGTTTGCAAAGCATTGGGGAAGCATGTTCAAATATAAGGTGATCGTTACATCAGGATAGTGAAGCTACAATTTCTTCTCAGGCTTTTCAACTTTAGACACGTTTAGGTTAGAAGACGAAATATTCTCATAATCAGAACGGAAGGCTACGTCGGATACTGAGATATTAAATGTTAAAGAGGAGGTTCAGGTCGTGAAAGCATGTTGCCGGTCAAGTCTCTTTGGGGTGAGCTCTTAACGATACTACACACTTCCTCTTCCAGGGGAAGGTACGTCACATTTTAGCTGAAGAATCATTGCAAAGAGTTTATTTCCGACTCTTCAGATTACGTGGACAAATTGAAACATTTTTGCAAGCCCAGGTGGTCTGTTCAAATTGGTTTTCCAGAACTCATACTTTGGCCCAAGTCCGTCGTAAACTGTAAGACGACGACGGTCATCTGGTGTTCAGACAAATACGCGCTCGCACTGCAAAGGTAACACAAGAGTCTCTACCAACTTGAATTTGACGTGAAGGCAACCACCATCCTTAGAACTCGTAATAAGTTTCGCTCACCTCTTCTCAATCTATGTGGATTAGATAGACGATAGATTATCCGTACGTACAGTTCGAAAACTTATGACATCACATTAAAATTAACCATATCTTGTATAGAAGCGAATAGTTTCCTGAAGTGTTCAGAAAGTTTTAGTAGTTTCTTTCAAAAATATCTTTGTTTGTGACAGCCTAAATTGCAGAGATCTTCTTTAGCCCATGAAATATCAATAAGACTGTAAGGAGTTGAGTTGCGTTGCGTTTTAATTCAGACGTGTATATTAGCAAGATTGGGTGCAAAACCTCGAAACCAGTGATAGTGCTATCACAGAAATTGAAATTATGCCATTGAAGGGTTCTAATTGTACCTGAAAATTAGTAGCCACATTTTGGCTTCGCATTGAGTATATACATGCAACCTATGTGAATAAAGAGAAAAGTATAAGCGGATGGCGATATCTAGTTGATGAGACTCCATATTAATTAGATATGGAGTCTCATCAAATAGAAGTCCAACAAAAACAAGATTCAAAATGAATAACCTCCAGAGAAGAGTTGGCAGGTACCCAGGAATTGATGTTCAAGCTTGGATTCTATATATACGGAATACAAGCCAAGAGTGAAGTAACATGTGCATATTCACGTAACAGATCGAGCACAAGTAGTGACACGTAATTAGACGGTGCGCGGATAAATGTCCAACTGTACCTGCAGGTTAATAACAGAAATTGCTCCGTATAGAGAATAGAGGAGCAGCCTAAAGAAAACTCGTATGCGGATGTCTGTAATTGAGAGCAAACGCTGTAGATGCAGGAAAAACTCCAAGAAAGACAAGATTTCAGAATGAGAAACTGTGGAACTGCAAGAGAAGGGTTACCAAGTACCCTGGAAATGATGTGCAGGCTTGGATTTCACAGATACGGAAGACAATCCAGAGGTCATAATTCAGAGACCAAATATAAGTACTCAGTCCGGGCCTGAGGAGATGTGTGTAGTTACTCTTGGGACGAAAATATTATGTATCTTGAAAGGAGGAGTCTAGTTGTTTCCAATGAAAGCTATTCATTTGAAACGGACAGATATGAAACACTTTGACTACCCTAAATTTCCCAGTCTCCCTTCTGTTCACTGGTGAGATTGAATGTGGGTTCCGTGTCTTGACTGATCTAAAATACTGTACATTAACTCCCATTATCATCATGGACTGCAGAATAATCATCTCCAAGTCATGGTATTTAAAGTCAATGTTAACGAGCTAAATATGCTAGTGCAACAAAACACCGGCAACTGCAAATTATACGACGGACATATCATAATTTTAAAGATACATCTTACGTAGAACTAAACAATCTACACAGACCGCAGAGCCTTCTACTCAGTATGTTGGGATGACTTTCATGACAACCCACACAGATCAATTCACATGAGTATTTTGATACTGTATCAGCATAAAACTCATCGCTTAGTACCTTTGCTTCAGCAGTTGTTAATGTTCATTCAGCTGTACATCTTCTCCAAATAATGCTTCAAATACTTTATGATGTGCCTTGGAATTGAAGCAAAACCACGACAGATGACCTTCGTTTGGTACCTCATACAAGTCGACCAGTTCAGGTACGACGCTCTTCACCCACCTCTGCAATCCAACTGGAATCAGGTTATCTTCCACCCCCTGAAATAAACAGCCACGGATACGCACTGTCAGTTTGGTAATAATTCAACCTCTGTACCCTGTCACATCCTACATGTCCCACATCCAGAGAATGCTACGCAAGATATGAACATACGGAAAATCGACAGATTCTCCAGGACCAGCAACACATGGACTCCAGCATCATAACAGAGCAAAGCACGCCGGTTTGAACTTGATAGTATACGCTTTCATAAAAGTACTCAAAATTCAGTTGTGCACATCTTATCCGATGCTTGTGACAACTAGAAACAATACTTGCAATTGATAGATAGCGATAACCGCAAGGAGATGAGATTATAAATTGCAGTTCCTTGCCTGCCAGATGTGGAAAGGACCTTTGTAAACGCCTGCAACATCTTCGGGCTCAAACCCCCAGTCAGATTTGAGGAGCTCGATGTCTTTCGACATTCCAAAGCCCTTGTTCCACGTCATTGACTCCGTGTTGTCCCTGTGATTAGCAGGTGATCAATTTTAAGTTTCGGGATTTTCCTTACAGGCAGAATCAGTATTGCCGCAGCAATATACATAACCCTCAAATCAACACTCAAGACTCTGCAGAACAAAATTGTTTTCTACGATGTGAAACCCAAAAACAGAAAGTGAACCCTATAGACATACTCTATTCAAGCTTATATTTGTTCGCAAAGCCAATAGCATTGAGAACACAAGTCAGCTGACCTTAATACCACGTGATTACTTGCTGTTATCATGCATCTATATCTAGAGTAATCCCCAAAAACAGCAATTGTCTCTATCGTAGACATACATAAAAACATCGTAAAACGTCGTAAGTTACTATAAATTTGCTAACAAGGTTCGGTAATACCGAACCGCGGTAATACCGAACGGTACTCTCCTATAGCAAGAAGCATAGACATTGGACGCGCACAAAAATTCTTGTGCAAGGATGTTTCATCGTCAAGTGGTAACGGAATGTAGAGAGAAAAAGTAGACCAGGGTCAGAAGCATTTCAAGGGGTATAGACAAGCGAAGTGTATATCCTTGATACACAAAAGATATGAGGACACGTTAGTGCTGACAACAAGTGACCAGCAATTGAGGACAAAGTAAATGCTTAAGAAAACTCAAGTAGCAGAATGCATAGAAGCATAAGTCGCTTGGTTTTGAAGACCACATGAGTATTTGTATGGAGATACTGGGCAGGATATACTAACCAGTGTACATGCGGGTACAAGGACAAATGGAATGAATGGCTGCAATGACTCTACAATGTCCTCTCAAGTCCGTGAAAGAGATATCGTGTAATCTAAAAGTAGGAACTTTAAATTAGGTAACTGAGCAGAAGAACAAATACCCCTTGTACATGTAAAAATATATAATAGGTCAACACGGCATACAAAGAGCATATTGCAAATCGTGTCAATTAACACTTGAAATATGGTTGTCATGTAAACCCGCGTAAAGAAGAAAACATCTATAAAACAGACCAGTACAGTACCAAACCTGAGCGGGTTTCCGGCCGATCAGTGCTATCCTGCCTTTAATATTAGTAAGTGCTGTAAGAGTGACAGACTAGAACAAAATGGATGAAACCAACATGGTATAATATGCACAGAAATATTAGATAGCGCCTCTGCTAAAGTGGGAGAAACCAGCAAGTGAAGACAGAGTTTGAAATTTATAAACAAAGAGGGCTCGCCGAATGCGAAGTAAACGTAGGACCTCTTATGATAGGTACGATACTCGATGGGTTTATAGAGAAGACCCAACAACATCGACGTAGTGGCCATTAATTTTCACAGAAGTAACTAGCACGCATAGGTAGAGGGAAGTACTTCGACTGCAAAAATCCTCGAGATTCGACTTCAAAAGGAACATGAGCAAGAGATAGAAACGTATGACACAAACCGAGTATAGGTGGACCTGGGGATAGGTAGGTGCACTCCAATGTCTGAGTAAGGAAATGTCCCTGCGTAGGTAGATCCACAGGACAGAAAAAACTAAGCGATGATAAATTAGTGAGGTGCAAGGCACGCTTCAAAAGTGCCAGAGTCACATTGAACAGGAGGAAACTAATGCAGTTTTCTGTATGCAACATAATGAGAAACCTTGAGCGAGTTGAACGATTGTTATACCACGGGACCACCTACAAGGACTTCTAACCCAAGGAGAAACGAGAGCACAGAGCCAGGATTTCCAACTATAGGGCTCTATCTAAGGTAGAACTTGATACATTGTAACTGTCAAGGAATAATGAAGAGGCACGAAATATATGATCCATATACTGGTAAAGAAAGCGACGGACTGAATGCAGACACATTCACAGAGTACACAGATGAAAATCCTGAAAGTTGGAAAAAGAAAGAAGGCAGCCATAATCCATGGGATATAATGCACGTGGTCTTCGACTTAAAATGAAAACATGATTAAAGAGAGAAACGAATGCACACGAACTCACACAACGGGGTGAGGTATGGAACCTCGAGTCGGATGCGAAAGAGGTAACCGACAACAATATCTACCCAACGGGTATCACTCCTCCGTCAGATAATTCCATGATCCCCGCTGCTTCATCAGTGAGTAACGCGGTGAATAAGTTTCTGCACTGAGCGGCGCGGGGATGAAGATAACTCAAAACCCAACAGAAAAGAGTTTCTAGAACTGTTGCCCAGCCCTAATGTACATACTATACATCACACATTGAATTATAATGGACCTAAAACATCGAAAGCCCGGGAGAGACAATGCAGGATCAGGTCAAAAGATCCATAGAGAAAAAGTTCTAACACTGAAGTCAAAACGGTCTGAGGCCTAGACGATGTTAGCAAGTAATGAGTGTGGAATAGGTCAATGCGCCTGTAAACCTATTCCATGTAATTAAAGATTCAGGTCTATTAAGGACGATGTCCACTAATGCGTGAGGATTATCGTGATACGGGGAAAACCGCATTAAGCACCGACATGTTGGACTTCACTATCCATACGATTTCTGTTTCCAAAGAAGTGCATTTTGAACGATAAAACATCGCAAGTATAAGAACGTAACCTGATTAGAGAACCATCTGGACCATAAATCAGCAAGTGCTGCCTATCAGGTGCTGAAAGTGTATGCTCGAGTCGTTTGAACCAGTTAGATCCTGGCCTAACAAAGTGCTGAGTATAAAGACGAAGTATCCAACTTGGAGTTCTCCGCCCTAAACCAAATATGAATTTGTTGCTGGAGACAAGATCCTTCCACATCGCCGATCGTTCTTCATCTGATATACCCTATTGTGATAGACGTCATAAGTTTCTGTTGGTACCTTTTCTTGATATCTTTCTTAAGCTCAAGAAAAAACTGCAGAGATACTTATGACCAAATTACTAGCTTATTTCTGAGCCACAAGATAACAATTCGGGAGCAAATTTAGGTAATATAATTCACCTTCCAATAGTAGTTTCCGGCAGGAGCCCACAGACAAACACCAGCAAGTCGATGAGGGATGTATCGAGCACAAGCCCAACAAAAGGCGCCGCCACAAGAATATCCCAACAACCAAAACTTATCTCCCATTGATAAGGCATCTGCAACCTCCTCAATATCCTGTACACTTGACTTGAATGTCTGCTCTGTGTCACAGTCACTTCTACCATAACCAGGTCTATCTATTGCCACAATCTTCACTCCATAAGCCTTCAGTAATGTATCTGATACACCTAAAAGTGTATAGTTCAAGTCAGCATTGAACCTTCAAGATTAGGGCACGCGAGCCCTATGCTGTGGAGCCGAGCTAGGTGATCTTTTGGACTCGAGAGCCGCTCAGCCATAACATTCAATTAAAACGTCTGAAAAAACTGAAAGAAGGAAGTTCCATCTTTAATTTGCCTAGTATATTTTACACCACATAATAAAGAAATAATCGACTTTGTTAGTCAGGACGGAACATATAAGACTAAAAAGCTTAAGCAGACGACTGAACACTATGCTTTCAATCAAAGTAGAAAGAACTGCGACAGATTCTGTAAAAATGAAGCTTTTTTTATAAATGGAAAATGAAAAGGCATGAACGCCATGTTCAATCTTGTTTTGTTACACGATCATACTTCACTCTTAGATTCCAGATTCAAAATGGCTTTGCTGCAGAAAGGCTAGGCTCGAAAGTCTTTATTAGGGGAAGACTGATGTCGATTTAGTTCCACGTTCGACGTTCGACGTTACTACAAAATTCTACGGGAGAGATTGAAAGAATACAGAAAAATCATCCGGAATAGTTGATGACTGCCAATTCTAAGATATTTCACGACAAATCTATTGCCCTGATGTTAGCATCTAAATTGATTTGAATAATGCTCTTGCGTTGCCTCGTGGTTTCACTGATAATTGATGTTTTGCTTCATTCATTTAACACGTAATCGACTTAGAGTTACGCTTTCAAGAACTTACAGATTACGGTTGCAGCTCATGTAGTACGCATGAGTGTTATACAGCTGAGCTGAATCCATGTGGAATAATTTGTCAGGTTACACATGAAATCAGCAATCAAGAATCGACAAAAAGCAGGACTCTTTAAGGAAAAGTGAAAATACAGTATTATCGGATCCTTGGCAATCTCAATATTCAGACGCGTTTGAACAAATCTGAAGCGGAAAAGCTTGTGAAAAAGGTCAAGGAGTCACATAGTGGAGATGATGAGCATACTACCTGGCATACTGGCAAGACGGGAAGAACCTAAACCATGGAGTACCATCAACTGCCGCTTTGCTTCTTCGCGACGTACTCCTTGCTCTTTATAACATATCCGCCTGCCGCTTGCCAGCCTTACGTATTTCAAACCACCAAGCTCCTCTAGCACCGCCATCTGTTCAGTTCCAACAGACACAATGCTCAAAGATTTCTTCCTCTGAATTCCACAGCTGCACGACTTAGACTAAGATTTCTCTTCCAGATTCAAACTCCGATCACAATTCACGCTTACACCAGAGAATCAAGTAATTCTGCAGGGCCTCTCCTCCTGTTCGACAAATTGCATTCACGTTCTTGAGTAATCTGCAGTGTGTTGTAGTAGCCATTCCATCGAACTTCCTCTGAAGCGATGTACACCCTCTTGACAGTTGTCGGGCTGTAAAGACAAATCATGTCTCGCAATAAGCGGGATACCCAAACCATTTCTTCAGTTCTGATCGGAGGCCAACATTTTACTTCAAATCTGCAACCAGACCAGACCAGACCATAACCATCAGCAGCGACTTAAGCCCTCCCATGCTACTCAAATTACGCATATTCTTGGTTGGATCTTCACAAACACTGACGTTAGCATTACTTGTGCCCACCCAGTAAAAAATAATGTCACCCACAACCTATGGGCATGGGTGGGTTTGGGTCTGTTTGATAAAAATAATAATAAATGTTGATCATCCTACATAAGGAAAGAACGAGTGTGACCTTAAGTTCCATATAGCAAACTACAAATCTACTCAGTATCATTTATTAGCGCGACTGTACTAAGCCTATATAAAATCTAGTCAATATAACCTTGGGATGTTTATTATAAGTAAAAATATGGATGGAGGCTTTTTACTACATTCGTAAACAAATTATAGCGAATGTGTTGTTTGACCATTCTATCCGTTACAGGGCTTCTTTACCGGCACATTTGGCAATTTCATAAAATCAATGAATGATAGTAATCTTGTAAAATCCAAAAACAACATTAGGCAAATCTCATAATTTATTGAGGAGGTAGCTATGACTTACAATCATTCAATGATGCTTGAACAAGATCACATATATAGATGATAAGGGCGTGAGTGCATGTTGAGGATGTCGGGGTGATATCACGCTCGGGGTTGACACATTGTCACCCTACCACCACTACAAATATGTAGTGGTGGCTAAATAACAGTCACCCACCCCGGAATACGGTGGATGGGAACGATTCCACCCTCTCCAACCCTATCCCCACCCTATGATAACCAACTAATACTAAAATGGAGCATAATGGTATAGATTCGTTCCCACATAGACAGATGCAACACTAAAAGTCACGATTTGTCACGTATTAACATTCTATTGAAGAGTTTTACTTCTTAGGCCGATGTCACTCCCAGAAGACACTGCTCGAATTACAGCCGATGGCCCTAAGAGCAGAGTATAATCACATTCACAACCTGAAACTTTTCTAATCGACACTTGTGAGAATCGCCTTGGATCCCACACTATGATTTCAGGGGAAACTTCCCAGAATTGCATATTCCCGACTCATTCACCCGAATACCCAGACCCAAATTTGCTTAAATCCCGAAGAACCCATGGCAATACATTCAGTCTAGATATTCACAACTCCAGATGCGGTAGCTTCGACAAACCGGAGCGCACTATGCTCGGTGACAAGATCACACACAAGCGCACAGACACACAATGGATACAGGTTGAAAGTCAAGACAAGCCACTTGACAGAAAAGCCTTCCAAGGAAAGAGCCTTGGACCTCTTTATTCATTCTGATCTCCTAGTAATCTCAACCGCCTGAGGTGAATTACTCTCAGGTGCGGTGCCATCCGACGTAACGATTACAACGTCCTCTGAGCTTCGGTCGGCTCATAACCTACGCAAAACGTTTACAATCTCTATCTCTACATTCTCTCGCGTCTCTTCCAATCCCTCAGTAAAAGAATGAACTAATTCTACTAATTGTTTGTGCCCCGTGGATCCGCTGGCCTTCGCACACATCAGATGTCGCTCTAGTGAATCCAACTTCAGCCACTTAACCGATTGCAATTCTCACATTGCAAATCCACGCAGGCACTTCTCAACTCGCACTCGCAATTTGTCAGTCGTCTCATCCCGCAACTATCGGTTTGTCGCCCTTGCTTTTTTCGCTCTTCCTTGCGACTCCTCCAGATGCAGAGCAGCTCTCTTCAACTGCTCCTGTATACGTCCACATTCCGATTTGAACCTTAGTTTACATTCGACCTTCGAAGATCTATTCGCTTCACAATCTGTCAATTTCTTGGCCCAATCCGTGAATTCATCTTCGTGCTTCCGGAGTACCTCCGCCAGATTTGCCGTAAGCTCCTCTGCGTGTTTGAATTCCTTGTCACGATCATCTCTGAGCTCCGCGATCCTACTTTGAAGTTATTTGTGTCCCGTCTTCGTCGCAACAATCTGTCCCTGAAGATCTTCGGCGATCCGTGCCTCTTCGACTCTTCGCACTTCCGCCTTAGCTAATTCTTTGGCATGCAACCGATCACGTTTCCCTACAGCCATAATCAATTTCTTCACACTTTGCACTTCCGCGGTGTAGGCTCCCTTGGATGCCTCCAATCTCTCGCACAACTTCACGGTTACCTTCTGTACATTCTCGTTGGCGGTACGAAGACTGCTACAATCATGTTCTAATGACGCGCGAAGATCGGACTCCTTCACCAAGTTCAATCATAGGACCTCGCACTCCATCTCCTTTGCCTTGAGTCGGTCTTCATGTTCCTACAATGTCGCCCTCGTGGTCGCACACTCGGCTGTCAAGCTTGCAACTCGTTCCTTTGTCATCGCAGTTGCAGAATTCCACTCCCTCTTCACTACCACTGCACTCTTGAACTTAATTCTACTCCTTACCAGCTCTACATAGGATCCAGATTCCCTCCTCACTATATACTTTCCTCTCTTCTTGTCTAAGTACTTCAATAAAGGTACTACGCTATCATGCAAGAAATCAGGGAAGGCAACCTCTAACTCTTTCGGTCCCTCCTCCGAAGTCTTCTCCTCAACTTTGGATCTCACTTCTTCCTTAGGTGGTGGCGGCGCTGGAATATCGGTGATGTCTTCTACCGTCCCGCCAACCTGTGCAACAATCTGCTCAAGTATTTCCTCACTCAGCGTGAGCTCCTGCGCTAGCTCTTCACTTCTCTTCAGTTGAGGTATGTACTCACTCCCCACAGATTGCGTCTGCTCCAAAATATCTACTGCTACTTCCGTTGGGACTTCAACTGGTACCGTCGAAGTTCCTCCTTCCAACACTTGAAGAGTAGGCTCGTTATTCTTGTCTTCAGCCGTCGCCAAAGTTGTTGCATCTGTCTTCTCCACATTGCTGCCTGAAGAATCTGACACAACCATCATGGGATTCGCTTTCTTCTTCGCTCTAGCTCAAGTCCTTGACTACCTGATTCCCACTATCTCAGTCTCTGCCATCCGCGACTCTAATAGTGGGTCTTCCTCGTCGTCTGCCAGTACCTTCCGCCTTTTTGCCAGTCGCCTTTCTGGCCGCTCTCGTGTTGGCAGAACATCCACCTGTATTGGTTCGCGCGCTGTCGTCTGTGGTGGCGCTCCGGTTCGACCATTGTCTTCTTCCTCAGTCTCCTTGCTGGACTCGATTGCCAGAATTTTCCATTCCTTCAGAAATCGCTTCTCCTCCTCCTTCGTGAGTAATCCCATCCCCCGATAGAAATTCACGATGTAAGGGGTTAGGTGATTTACCAATCCTCCTTCCCATCGGCCACTCGCATTGACCCAAACCAGATCATAAAAGATACTCGCCCAATGTACTCGCTTTTACTTCAAGATGCGCTCGAAGAAACCAACCTGCCAAGCAGTGACATAAGTCGTGCGATGCGGTCGCAAGATGTGCATGACTCCCAATGCAATCGCATGTCTCACCGGATCTTTGTAATCCACGGTCTTCCATCCATTTGTTCCTGATCACGCGTTCTCGAAGAGTGGGGCAAAAGTGAATTCTTCCGCGCGGATTATTTTCACGCTATCTTTCTTGAACATAAAATCCCCGTCGTTTCCTACGCACAGCCCCAGCACTCTCGTCGAGTGCTCAATTGTCCACAGCATCGGATTGCTTCAAAGATCCTCTCCCTCGTTCCGGAGCTTGTCCATGATCTCCTTACAAAAGCTCGTCGATACGCAATTCCAATTCCACAAGAGGAAATCTAGATGCAATTCGCTGAGCTCCCGTCTATAGGGTCGCAATTCCTCGTATGGCACTTTCAACATAACCAATTTCCGCACCTTGGGTGGTGCCATATCTTCAAATCGCGTCTTCGCTGCTATCAAGGTTGATCGATTTTGCTTTCTCTCACTCTCACTCGTTCTCCCTCAATGTTGCAATGTCGGTGCGAATATCCTCGTCTTCCCTTACCCTCGATGCCCTAACATTCCTCTCACGCGTCCGAATTGGTACCCTCGGCGCGTGCGAACATTGACCAGCCTTTCGCGAATTCAATTTGAAATTCGGCGTCTTCGCCGAAGACTCGGCTATTGCATCCTCCAAAATGACTATGCCAAAGGTCCAAAGATCTGAAGGTCTTCGTTCCAAGACGAATCTTGCTTTCCTTCCCTATGTAGCTAAATTTTCCATAATTCTTCTAACTTCTACCACTTAGGACTTATATGTCTAACACGAATATGTTTAAGTTTTTGTTAATTTAAAAAAAACAAAAAAACTAAGCTCCACACAGCTTTTTGTGAATTTTTTGTGAGTGATATGAATCATTTGAGCCTCACGTGCGATGGAGAGTTTCGACCTCTCACGACGGGTGAAGCCGGGGTCATTCCCAAGAATTGGCATCCCCTTCACGATATGGAGCATATCACATGTTTTGACATAATCAATGTCTTGAACAATTGAATGTCTGCAACAATCACGACTCCGACATGATGATCTCCATCACCGAGTGAACCATCTCGATGATCGCACAAAATTGACGTGTATTTGTGAGATCGACCATAGAACAAAGCTCTTCCCCCCAAAAAATACAAATTCCAATCAAATGATATTTATATTCATATTGAATATATATATATATATATATATATATATTGATGTGGTATCTTTGAAAAATCAAAGAAACTCTCGCGCGGTGACAACACACTCAACATGTAATGATAGATAAAACCAAAATGGAGCATAATGGTAAAGATCCGATCCCACGATGACAGAAGCAACACAAAGAGTGCCAAGTGTCACGTATTTAACAGTCTTTTGAGGAGTTTGAATTCTCAGGCCATTGTCACTCCAGAAGTATTGCAGGTGTTCGACTCAGAGGACACTCACTGCATCGTAATACACACATTACTCCTGAAATTATCAAATGTAGCAACACAAAGGTCGATCGCGATCTTGTCTTAGTATTGAGGGGGGAAAATTCCCAAAGAATACATTCACGGATTCTGCACACGGCTACTAATTGCGAATTTGCTTAAATCATGACTTTAGCCAATCGCTATTCAGAACATTCGAATTGGGGCTACTACTTCAGAAGCGGTATCTTTGACAAACC